TGGACATGAGTATCTATGCCACCGGCAGTCACTATTTTCCCTTCACCAGAAATGACATCGGTGCAAGCTCCAACGACCATCTTCGGATGGACACCATCCATAATATCCGGGTTTCCCGCCTTCCCAATGGCCACAATATCACCCCCCTTAATACCTATATCAGCCACGTAAATCCCACTCCAATCGATAATAAGTGCGCTCGTAATAACGGTATCAAGCACATCATCCGCACCCCTCCCTGAAGCTTGGCCCATGCCTTCTCGTAGGGTTTTACCTCCGCCAAAACTACACTCATCTCCATACGAGGTCATGTCCTTCTCAACCTTCACCCACAAGTCCATTGAGCCCAACCTGACAAGATCTCCAGTAGTCGGGCCAAACATATGCTCGTACGCTTCTCTATTCATAGAAAACGGCTCGATACGTGTCATATCCCCAGCAGGCTGGGGAGTATGCGCGAACCCAGCCCGCTGGAGCCGTTCGATAATCTCGTCCGCTCGACCGAGGTCTACCTTCCCGTTTGCAAGGAAATTGCCCCCATGAATTATCTTTTCCCCGGCTATCTCAACGAGGGTAACCGTTTTGGAGTCTCCCGGTTCAAAACGTATAGAAGTTCCGGCAGGGATATCGAGGCGGTAGCCATATGCCTTGATACGGTCAAAATCCAGCTGGGGATTGACCTCGATGAAATGGTAATGGGAACCAACCTTTGACTCCCAGGAAAACACCGTATGTCAGCAGGCCGCAGAACCCAAAAAAAGAGAATTTGGTAGGTGCGGATTAGAGAAAACCAACAAACCTGAATTGGTCTATCCCCCCTGCTAGTCACTTTAAGGCTCAATCTCTTCCGTCCCGCATTAAGTACAATCTTGGCCTGCTTAACGGGAATAACCGCGCCAGGCATTTTCAGCGGGTGATAGTCTTCCGGGTCAGGATCTGGGAAGATGTCATTTGAAGGTACTGGCAGGAAGCTACCATACAGTGCCTTTTCCAGATCACCGTCCTCGGAACTGATGGGCTCATGGACGGTTACTAGATACGTGCCAGAGGGGAAAGTCCCCTCGACGAACAGTTCATGGAGAGTGGAGGTCACAGATGGCAGAACATGGCGGCGTCCCAGCATGGTCTTGCCTAGGGCCATCAGGTCGGCAACCGTATGGTTCCCATCCCGGATAAGCTGTGGAAGGTCAGCAAACGATCAGCCCTGTTTGGTAATGTAGATGTTGATGCTTTTTTTTTTTTTTTTTTTTTTTTTCTTCTTTTTTGTTGTTTATCATGGAGATATATGATTCATATCGTAGGTTAAGAGAGGAGTAGGATGGGGTATAACGGACCTCTTGTATGTTTGACGCTATTAATGCCTAAATTTCTCTTTCAAATCAGCAACCTGTGGAATTGGGTATTGTCATTCCATATAAAGCCTCCCACGACTCTAAACCAAAAATTAACTTAATTGAAGAAAGAAATTGGCCCACGGACGGTTGCCTCCGCATGGTTCAATCTGACTCCACGAGCCAGACGTCGTTGAGCAAGAAAGCCCAGTTGGGAGATGGTGAGCTTGTCTATCTGTTCGAGAGGAGAGGTCAGCAAACAAGGAACAGCTCAGCTGCGAAACCGCAACGATAACAATAGCTAACTAGTTAACTACTAGTCATAATAGCTCATGATGGAAGCTCAGGATTGTGCTGTATCCTTCGACTTCAATTGACAGGAATTGAGTGTAAACCATAGGTATGCCAGACACAGAAGAAGACTCGAGAATATAAAAAGTGCAAAGTAAACCAAAGCGTATCTTAATTACCTCTCTCGGAATTAGCTGCATCTTCCGGACCGCAATCAGTTCTCTTCCTTAGCTGTAGAATACCGCATTTGCCTGCTGCGGAGTTGAGTTCACAAGGCTGCTCTGCTTGGTTTTCTGCAGTGCCTAGTGGAGCATGTGAAAACAATAATAATAATAATATTAATAATATTAATAATAATAATATTAATAAATTAATTAATAAATTAATTAATTAACAAATTAATAAGTAAGTAAGTAAGTAAATAAGTAAGTAAAGAAAATAAAAAGAAATTATAAACGCTGAAGAAATGGTTGAAAACGCTGAAGAAATGATTGAAAACTCTCTGTTGCGCTGCCACAATGATATATATATAAATGGTAGATGACTCCACTACACGACTCGACAGTTGTGGGTAACTAACGTGACTCGCCACTCTACGCACAAACCACTCAATGCAAGCCTCTCCAACTAACCTACAAATTCCACGGATTTCTCAAGAACATAAGAATATATATATATATATATATCATTATATGGGTAGACCTATACTAAACCCGTATACTTATTTCAAAAGCTGAGATGATAATCAAATTGAGGCAGCTGAAATGTATGAAACACAATTATTGTTGTAACTCTCCAAAAGGACGATTACCCCGCATGGGGGCGGCAGCTGGATATTGAGATGGGCCTAACCGATTACAACGAGGAGACCAACGACGGAGTGGTTTGGTTAACAAACTAGGCTTTGTCTAATGTTGAGACGTTTGGCGGGTTATCGAACCGTGCTGCGGGCCGCTAGTCCGTTAATAGGAAGCGTTGCCTCCCACCTCAGGTTCATTGGGGGCAATAAGTGAGCTGCCCAACTAGTTAACTCAATAAATATCTGGTTATATAATTAATAGTGTAATTTATTTCTAATAAGCGTCCAGAGGACTCCCTGAGATGCAGAGGGTGCTTGGGACTCAAGAGACCATAGCTTATCTACTCTTTTAACTGCAGACAGTGGCAGAGGCAAATGGCCCATCGGGGTGCTGTATAAAACCCAGCCTTAGGTTTTATAGAGGCAGTTTGGGCACGAGAAAGCTGGTGAAAGGCAATGGAGGAGGCCTATAGGTGTGATAACTAAGGAATAGAGGCCCTAGAGGGAGAGAGTTAAAAAAAAAAATATGCAGTTTATGTTTAATAAACAATACCTAAATATTACTGGTCACAGGAAGGGGGCCGGGGGCCAGGGGCCTGTGTATAGCTATAGGCCTTCCCCCCTAATACGCCCTACACAGCCTAATAGCTAGGGGTGAGGAGTATACTTGGGTTAGCTTCTGTCTGGATGCTATTAAAGGTTATTAGGAGAGTCTCATAGAGATTATCCCCCCATAAGCTCTATATGCTTAACTAGCACAGGTCGATCACTTGAATATGAAAAATACGAGGGAAATAGTGTGTTGAAGGTAGGTGGGTTGGTTGATTTGATTGTTTTTGGATGGTTTGGATCGCTCGGTGGTGAAATACGTAAGTAACAGGGGGTAGCTACCATCGTTGAGATCATGCCTCTATTATTTTGGATGCGAGAACTTCCAACACAGTGGCAACAGGTCTTGGAGGGCGAGATCCTCTCCGTCCTCGCGGCGGGGCTATAAAAGTCCTCTATCAGTGCTCTATCAGTCCTCGATCCTCTTGAGCTCCCTCTCCCTCGGAGGAGCAGGACAAGCACTCACAAAAATGGCACAGCGACATCCTCATCAGGCCTCTTTTGAGGGGATTATCAATGTCTCCGCTTCAGGGCCCTTGATAGCAACCCAGCGCGCCAGGGCCAGGAGGATTTTCTACAGCATCGTCGACTATTTCGGTCCCCCGCCTAGTGACCAAAGACCTTCTGAATACAACAGACCACTTCTTGTCCGATACACCTACGAGTTTTCACGTTCTGAGCTATCGCAAGACACGTTTCTGCGCGCGTTTTTCGAATTTATGAAATGGGATATTGCTGAAGAGGATGAGGCCAAGTTCAATATCAATCTTGAGAATGAAACCATGAAAAATGAGCTGCACACAAATTTGACTCTCTTTGCTGACTTTCTATTTGATAACTTTTTCTTACCACGTAACTATGTCCCTTTATCCACCTCTGGTGAACTTGACCAACCTGCTTCTAGTTAAGGCTTCTGGCTTTCACAACGCCCAGCCCACCCCAGCCCACCTCTCTGTGATCGAAAAAGCATTGGGAGGACCACAAGAGTTTATTGCGACAACAGACCGATTATCTGTTCTTCGAGGTTCCTGTCTAATCCGGGACCATAACCGCTGTGTGATCTCACGTGTTTTTGACGGGAAAGAGGCTCTGACTCGTCTAAGACGAGATGGAGTTGATGCTCAGGATGACGAAGGAGACCCGCTCCATGGACAGTCAACCATGATATTAGAAGTGGCCCATATCATCCCACATTCCTTGACACAGGCAAATGCGAATGCAGAGCTGGTACGTTCCCATTGCTCTGGAGAAATGAATCACGGTTGCAGTTGTCCCTGCTGCTAAATGGCTTGCCTAGGACGATTCGAAGAAAGCCGCGCTCTTGATTCTGAATATGTTTGATTACGATGTATCACACGTCATTGACGGTGTCAATATCGACGGCCCCTTTAACGCAATAAGCCTTACGCGTGATCTTCATACCTATTTTGGGAACTTTGAGGTCTTCTTTCAGGCTGTTCCTGGCCGGGATCATACCTATCTGATTGATACTTTTCTCCCTCAGGGATTTTTGCACTATCTTCCTGTCAACCGTTCACTTTATCTTGCTGCCGACCGGCTCATAGATGCCCCTTCCCCCCGGCTCCTTGCTATCCACTGCGCCATTGCTCATATTCTTCACCTCTCTGCGGCGGGGGAGTACATTGACCATATCCTTGGAGACATGGAAGAATTTGGTGTACGAGAAGACGGTTCCACGGGACTGGGCTATCTGGTGAAACTGAGATTCGGCGGTTGGCTCGATAGAGGGGACCGGAAAAGGACCGGGAACTGGTGCACATAGGCCCAGACTGTTTGTCTAGAGAAACTGATATCAGGGCCAAGCATTCAAAGCCAGGTGTGTAGGTCCAGGGACCTTTTTTAATATGCTAAAAGACTATGGCTCTTCCAGAAACGAAAGAGTAGTTGTGGAGTAGTTGCCCATAGTCAGCCTCTAAGAAGGAATTCACTCATGTCAGGATCCGTGTGTCATGGAAAATGCCAAGGTATCTGCTAGGCCCCCAGCATTTCCTCTGCTGGAGGAGCGGCAGCGGGAGGTGGACAGAACACGACAGAGGGTGCGATACAGAGTGAGTGGCACCATGCGCAAAAGAGTTCAGAGAGAAACAGACCGTGATTGATATCGAGCGGCAGCTCCCTGGCTTGGCCGTCAACTATTTGGCCCGTGCAGCAGGTTCTGCAAAAGGAATATGATATGTCGCCAGCACTGGTCCACCTTCTGGCTTCTGGAGGGGCTTCTGACGTGGCCAGCCTCAGACCCCCTGGAAGATGAACGGCGACAGCGCAACGTAGGTGTAGAGGCCGTGAGGCAGTTCTGTGACTTCCCCGAGGGTGGTCTCCTTGGAGAGGAACGACCAAAGCGAAAAGTGCTGTCCGATGGGGCTCTTCATGAGGATATCCAACCAGAGAAGAAGGTCAAGCTGGAGGATCGCCCATCACCCTTTTCATGGGAAGAGAAAATGCCGGGAGGGCGAAGAGCATATCCGACAGTCCAAGAAGCCTAAAATCTGCTTGCAGTGTCGAAAAAGGTACTCCAGGCATCCTGATGTCCTGAGACACTTCCGGTCGGCGCATCTCAGTGATCGTCAATGCAATTTCTGCCTCCTCCCGCTCTGCGACCAGAAGGACCTGCAGAATCACGCAGCAGCAGCCCTCTGCGTCCGCACCTGAGCAACTGTTACAAGTTATCATTATTTTGGGAAACCTGCAAATGTACTTGCACCAAGATGTGGACAACTAAGCACTTTACATGTGAGCTCTGATGCATAACTAGTATCAGGGTATAAAGGCGCAAACCGTCTGCGCATTTCGAATGTATTCGTCATTTTTATGCTCCGTTAGGGAATTTGTTGGAGCGAAGCATCTTCTCTCCATTGCTAATCGAGAGGTGCCAATCAGTTTCGAGCATAGTTGTTTATGCACTAAAGAGGTGGTCTTAAAAAAGATTGAGTCCCCTCTACGATGACTATTGTACTAGCTCTCAACATTGATCGTCATCGGGTCTTCGTTGGGCCTAAGAGGCCTGTATGAGGGGGGAAGTCCATAATTTACTATATAAAAAATAATATAAATATCAGTATAAAAAATCTATATTAAAATATAAATTATAAATATATCATTTACAAGGCTGAAATTATTAAAGGAAGAAAAAAAAAAGTAGATATGTAAAACAAAGAAAAATAAGGCTTTAATAGTAGTTATACAAAAAGAGATATAATTTTTTATAGTTAATATAAGTAAAATTATATATATTTACTAGTTAAGTATTAATTGTTAATTTTCAACTAAAAAAATAAAACACTTCAAAGATTTTTACTTAGAAATCTTATTTAATAAAAGTAAGTGATTATCGACCTCAAATCAGTAACCAGGTCGGTATCTCATAGAACCTTACAAGCTTGGGGTGTCGGAAAATATCAAACAAGCACTCCTCATGCGGACTGTAGCTTGTCGCGGCAAGGTAAGAACTGATAATAAAGCTACACCCAAGTAAAGAAAAGCTTGAATGTATGCATATACAGCTAATTCTTTCAATAATGAAGCAAGGCCTTATAGCGGAGCTCAATAAACTGAAGCCTGTTAAACCACCCAACCCTATCCCTACGAAAACGCCCTGCTCCCCTTTATTTCCCCGCCTTGTCTCCCGCAGCCTACATTGAAGTTACACGTACACACGTACACACAAACCCGGCTGTACATGCACACAGAAAGCTACCAGTTAAAAGCAGCCAGTGAAGAACGTGGGAAAAGGTTTTCAAAGAGCAGTACAACCTTGCAGGAAATCAATACCCTATCTTATTTATCAGGTCTTTTTTTTTCTTCTTCTTTCTCGCAAGGCTCTTGAAAAGACCCTTTTGGGTCTAGAGTCCAGGGTTTGTGCTGCTCTCAACCTCCCTGGGGCGCCCCACACATCTCCACCCGCTGCAGGATAGATATAACTAACCCCCCACAACCATCACTATCAACGGTTGACACTCCACGAAAGGTCTACACATGATGGTGGTATAGGCCTTGTCAGCAGTTCAAATCAATCAATTTAAGGGTTCGAGAACAGCCAAAGGGCTCGAGTAGTTATCCCCAATCTTCTCTCAGCCCCTTCAGCTTCGCCCTCATTTAACTAAACAACTATCATTTGAAGAAAGGTTTAGAAAATTATAAAAAGAAGAAAAAAAGAAAAATATCACTAATGCTTTTTCTCCCCATGGTTCGCATTTTGCATAGTCAATACTCATATCATCATTTTGGAAGCCTGCAATTGGGAATCAGAAAAAGAAAACGAATAAGTGACGCAGAGAATGGAGGGACATGTGTGGTAAAATATTTCGGTCACGGACATACTCAACGTACGCCATAAGCACAAGCACAAGCACAAGCACAAGCACAAGCACAAGCAGAAAGCGTTTCATTGCAAATTGCAAGGAAAGAGAATCAAGGGAAATAAATAAAAAGCCACCAGAGAATTTCCCAAATCTCAAACCCAACTCCCATCCATCAATTCATCCATTTCGCACGCACAAAACACAAAATACATAGCCATTCGACAAAAGCAAAGCGACAAAGGGGGAATTCCCAAGGCAAAGAGAGAAAAGAAGCAAAGGGAAAAATTAACCACAAATTCCAGCCTCAAGCCCCAAAACCTCCCCCGCTACTCCGCAGCCTCACTCTTCCTCTTCTTCTTCCCCTTCTTATCTCCCCTAGGCATCTCCGTCGCTGCCGCCACAGTAGCCGCAGTAGAGCCCCTCTTAGACTTGGTCCCAGACGCCGTCACCTCCTCCTTCTCCTTCTTTCCAGCCCCCTTCCTCTTTTCCAGCGACCCTTTCTTCCCGCTCACCCCACCAGCAGGCATAGCCGGCTTCCCAGCATCTGCAACAGTCCCCCCAGTAGTGCGACGCCGCTTATTCGAGCGGGGAGGCGTAGGTGCCTTGACAGGTTCAGGTGAGGCTTCCTCTTCCTCTTCCTCCTCTTCGTCCGCTGATTCCTCGTCAGACTCGTCAGATTCCTCTGTGGATGCTTCATGGGTGTGGGTGGGGACGACGGTCGTGGTGGCGTGGTGGACGCCCTGGTGTAACTGGGCGGCAGCGGCTTGGGTTGTGTCGTCATCCGGGACTGGAGGCCGGCTTTGTACGCACGCATTTTCTCGTGGTAGACTGCTAGGTTGTCTGCGTAGAGTTTTTTCCAGATCTGTTGGGAGAGAGATGTTGGTCAGTCGCGTCCCAATGTTTTTCCCCCGTAAGGGCAGGTAAAATATGCAGAATAGTGTAGGGATATTAGGAGAAAGTGTAAAACATACCGATTTCTCCTCCTCAGTCATCTCCGCCCACCTCCTCGTGCCTTCATCCGCCACCTCCTTCGGGCGCGCATTAGCCCCCAACTCCTCCGCAATCGTCGCGCGATTATGCTGCATATACAAAAAATACGGCGTCAACGCCCTCTTAGGCGCATTGGGATCATGGGGGGCACGCTTGCGCTTCATCTTCCCCGGCAGAGCAGCGCCGCCAGCTCCGGCGCCCAGGGCGTCCGGACGACCGCCGGGACTAAGGCCGCGGGTGCCACCCAGGAGGCCATTTTCGAGCAAGAGGCTGGAGGTGATGCTGCCCAGATCGAGGGTTGAGGGGCCGCGGTTCAGCACGGTGTTGGCATGGTTGATGTAGGCGCGGGAGAGATCTGAGACGGCAGATTGGAGGGTGGCGAGGGAGACGATTACCTGGATGTATGTTAGAGCTGAGGGGTTGGTGGGACTAGTTTTTGTGGCGGTGTTGAGGGTGTGGCTGGCGGTTGTTATGGGGTTGCTGACGTTGACTATGGCGTCGAGGAGGGATTGGGTGGAGGGGAATGGGGGGATGCGAGACGGAGGAGGGGCCAGGGTTGTGGCACGTGAAGGCATGGTGAAGGGGGATGGGGATGGGGAGGAGGTGGGTGGGGGATAAATAAGGGAGAAATACACGAGGATGGGAGGAAGGGTGGGTACAATGGTTACAGTGCAGTGAGGAGTGGGCAACAGTATAACTGGGGCTTCGGGGCTTAGAAGATAGGGAAGAGGAGGGTTGAAGGCTAATAAGGTTAATGAGATAGATAGAGGGCAATGGGGGAGGGGTTGATGCCTCCGAGGAAATAGGCAACGCCAGCTGCCCCGAAGGACTTGGGTGGCGGTGTTGTTGTAGTTGTGGGTGATTAATGGTTGCTGCTGTTTGCGTTGCCTAGGGGCAAAAATGAGGGGGGGACCGCACCACCAACATGGGAACAGAAGAGGAAACCCCTTCAGAGAGAGAGAGAGAACAAAGGGTAGGAAAAAATACACAGCGCCAGCCACCAAGGAAGATTCCAGAGAATGATCAGTGTTCAAATCGACTTACACTATCGCGCGTCCTGGTGAAGTCATCAATGTTGACGGTCACAATCGCAGTGCTATCCTTATTCTTGTCTTCTTTGCGCGACATCTTGGTTTGAACCGCGATGCTCTAAGGAGTAGCTAGGCAGGTAGCTAAAGATGGCACTGCTGGTTGTGCGCGTTGAGGATTATAGGGCTGGGTGGGATATTGCCTACTGAACGGGCAGCGAAATAATTATTATATTAAATGGTGGGAGGGAAGTATAAGTAGACAATTCTTCTGCCGTGAATTTTTTTTTTTTTACTTCGTTTTCTTTCTCTTTTCTTTTCTTTTCTTTTTTTGTTTTTGTTGGGGGTGTGGGCGCGAGGGGTGAGAAAAATAACCAGGGAGAATGCAGGTGTATCCCGCAGTGTGTATCGACAGGCGTGGCGTGAGGCGGGAAGCGAAGGAGAGGGAAAACAGAAATTTGAAATAACTTTGGGGGGAGGGCGGGACACCTAAATATTAATTTTGGCCCGGGCGTGAGGATCGCTGGCGAGGTTGGTAGGGGCATAAGGGCTAGCAGGGTAGGCGACCCCTCCTCACACACATTGTCCACGCACACAAAGACAAGCGGTTTATTAGGCCACTTCTTAATTAACCCAGCCCGTCCAAGCCAACGCTGCTTTTAGGCGGTCTCGGCTAAGCTGGGCTGGGCGGGAGGGGGGGGGTTGGGTGCCCCAAGGGTTGCTGCCAGTGAGTGCTTATGATTAACTATTTTTGGTTAACTAATTCGTTAGTTATGATGGGTGACTGCTCTGCCTTAATTTACTGCGATGCCCTGAGAGTTGCTGGACGCTGCAGGCTGCATCTCCTCCCCCCCCAGTGCCTGTTGCTATTGGCTCCGAGCCTGCAATTCTTTACCCCCCTCATTCGGCTCGGCGGCTCAGCTGGTGACCACACTATCACTCTCTGCTCACAAACCCTATTATTTCTTTACACTGAATAATATATAGGGCACACACACACACATCATCATCATCATCATCATCATCATCATCTCATAATAAATGGAAATTTCCCCTCCAGCAGCTGTATTATTTCTCTGGCATTTCCATTTTACTTATCCTCGCCATACAGACATATGGAGTGAGGAAAGGGCAGAACAAAACTTAAGCCTAAGAAGCAGAACCAAATTAAGCGCAAATTCATGCTGTGTATTTATTATTATTATTATTATTATTATTGCCCAATGCGGTGGCAGCATAAATATTGTTGAGCATTGATCTGGTTGGAGTCCCTTGTCACTGTTCGGCTGTGGGTGTGTCTGCAGGCTAAGCCCCCAAGGGAAGTTTTAGTGAGAGAAACACAGAAAACTGCTCGACCCCCACCCCAAATGCAACCAAAGCAGCAAACCCAACTGACACAACAGCGCAGAAATATTTGCCGCTAAATCACCCGAAAACCTTCCGTTATTCCCCCCTCCCGGCCCCGCTACAACTTCCCATCAGGGTCGACTCTCCAGCTAAAAACTTTAGTTAACTAAGTAAGAGTTACTTCTGGTCTGTTGGGGTAATAGTTAACCACATTTCCCCCCCAACGCTGGTTCGCAGCCACGTGTGTGTGTGTGTGTGCCGGGCGCTGACTTCCACGCACTCTTATCCATATCACTACGTAGTTACACAAATCCACCCAGTGTGATGCATTCCGCCCCGAAAACAGCACCGTTACTCAGCTACTCTCCATTAGGCAGAGGTGTCTTGAAAAAATAAGAAGCCAGGAAGATTAACTATTATGCTTGGGATTAAACCCCCCACCCCGAAAGTCACCTCGTTTTCTTCTCTGTTAAGGCATTCTCTAAAAGGCAGCGGTATTTCTGTCGGAGGCTCTTTTAGGTATGGAGTTGTTGATATCATTGTTCTTCGTCAACCTGGGAAGTATGTTAATATTTAGGTGCTGTTCTGTACGGTATCCTGCCATGACTTTCAGTTGATAGAGCTAAGTATATTTTAACGGTGTTCTCATCAATTCGACTTTCTGAAGTTTGTAACTACATGAACCCTTTAAAAGTACCACACCGTTTCATTCCAAGTCCACTTTAATTATATAAAACTTACACCCTATCTTCAACCTTCACAGTTCACAGCTCACAAATTCAGCCTCCTCCTCTGTATGATTATTCCCAGCACTGATTGGCGAGCCGAAACTTGTCCATGCCTCATAGGTCCCGCTCCGAGCGGCACGGTATGCGGTCATGCGGCACCTGGTTCTGGAAGAAGTGACGGTTTGCAGGGAGTCAAAGGCCGATGAAGAGAGAGAACATGTGCTCTCGCGGTCGGATGGGGTATCAGATGGGTCTTGGTCGCGGTCGTGACTATTATTCCTAGCAAATGTTTGACTATTGTCGTCATGGGATGAGCGTTGTTGTTGCTGTTGTTGTGAAACTGGGAGTCGAAGGGCTGGAGTAATTTTTTTTTTTTTTTTTTTTTTTTTT